GCCTTGGTTCTTCCGATTTACAACCTATGATTGCACAACTGGTAATCAGGAAGGCTATATATATTTTTTAGCACAACTTCAATCATAAGTCAATACTGATCCATATAAACAAATGCTTAAGTCATTTTCTTCAAAGTTTGCAGCTATTTAAATTAACTTGTGTGGAAAACATAATTTATTGATTCTAAGAGGAAATGTATAGACAAACCTCAGGGGCCATCCAAAATGCAGTGCCTTTACAAGATTTGACATCATTCAATTTAGTGGCCTGAAAATCAACAAATCAGAAAATTTGTGTCAGAAAAATCAAAATAATTCAACAGCTACTATGGGGAAGAACATAGTTTTAGAATGGAACAAAACCTTTGCCAATCCAAAATCTGCAAGTTTCACAGATCCACTTGCATCCACCAATATATTTGCACATTTAATATCCCTTTTGATACAAGAAAAGAACAAAATTGAGCTTAGATAAAGTCACATGATAGTATAGTGCCCATTCATCCACTAAAAGCAACAAATGCCAGTTGAATACAAAATTGAACAAACGTCAATAGTATAGAGACTATGTCCAACCTTATCGCATAAAAATAATTAAAAAATGGAGAACAGACTTGAAAAAATATAAATATATTTTCCTGCTGCACTAAAATGAGCAACACATATTGTTCCTCCTTTAAATCACCAAAAAAGAAAAAGAAACCAAAACATTTTGTCAGGCAATTAAAGCTTCATACATTTCTAAAATTTTTTCTTTCAGCATACTAAGCAATTGATATTCAACTATTGGAAAGTCATATGAATTTCATATTTAATACACAGACACTTTACCTGTGAACCACATCTTTGTCATGAAGATACTTCAGTCCATGCAGAATCTGTCTTGTATAGGAAGAGACTTGAGAATCTTTAAGATCATACTTCTGATAGAGTTTTAATAGGGAGCCTTGTGTCACTAGCTCAAGGAAGATATATAATTTAGATTCATCCTAGAAAGATCATAAAGTGAAGAAAAAAAGAGTTAGTCTATGGATTCATAAAACTGAATTGAAGTTAGCAAGGTATTAGAAGCCTAATTTTTATGATCTTGTATCCTATGAGAAATTCTATTAAGTTTGGGATAAAAAGTTCCAACATACGCATAAGATCAATGACTTGGTAACAGCCTAAAACAAAGAAATAAGGTCAGCTTTATGTTCAACAAAGATAGCCATGTTTTCAATCTTCTCCTTCCTAATTACACATGAACCATCAATGGAGCAGAAGGCCTTATGTCACTAGGTAGCTTGTTGACAATTCTTTACAGCTCATTTCACAGAAGTTTCAAATGGAATAAACAGCATTAACCTTTCCCCCCATTATCTGTCTACACCTCAATACCATCTTCAATTCTATCCAAATTTGTGACTAGCAGGAGACACAAACCTTGTCAGTGCCATAATACTGAACAATGTTTTCATGTTCAAACTGACTTAATAGACCAATCTCCTGGAAAGAAAATTTCAAGAACAATAAATCAGCAGAAAAAAATATATATTTACAAATTTATCAGCAACAGAAAATTTTTCAGAGAACATAACAAACAACTACTCACTTGCTCAAGTTGGAAAATACTCTGCCTTCCTTGACTTCCTTGATCAAGCAATGAAACTTCTTTTAAGGCA